GGGCTTGCTTTGCGCATTGTAAGATCAGTATTTGCTGGCTGTAGCCGTAATTACTAATTAGAGCATGTATATTAATTTATTGGCTAAAATCGTCATTAGCTGGACCTTTTGACGTTTCTAGTGTTGAACTGGGAACAAATTCGCGCGAAGTAGGTGGTGAACTGTACTGTTTGCGATGCCATGATACAATGGGTATACCAATATGTGGTGCATGCCATCGACCAATTGAGGAACGTGTCGTCACTGCGCTCGGTAAAAACTGGCACGTCGAGGTATTTTTTGCATTTTTTATGCGTTTTTTGCTGTGTAACAGCAGTACAAAACACATATTGTCACGGGGTTGCCTGTGTGTTTGTCCGCAGCAATTTGTCCGCAACTTTCAATGCGGGAACCACAAAAGCTTGGAAGCTGAAAATTTACGGTAGCGTTCCCCACCCACGTGCGACCCTGCAAATATAAATTCAGCCTGCGGGTAACCCGTACGGCCCCGTAAAAGTTTGAGTGGGTAAAATTATGATCACGGGAACCACGGAAGCTAGAAGGCTGAAATTTTGTGGGCATGTTCTCCGCCTATGTATTACTTAGAAAATTTAAATTCAGCTTTCTCGTACCCGCGGGTAACATGTGCGGCCCCGTGAAAAATTTTAACGGGCAAATTATTATCTCGGGAACCACGGAGTCTTGGACGCTTAAATTTTAGGGTTGTCGCCCCCTGCCCACGAGCGACCTTGCAAATTCATATTCAGCGTTTCCGCACTCTCGGGTATCACTTACGGCCCCGTGAAAATTTTGGCGGGTAAACTATTATCTCGAGAATCACGGAAAGATATTCACCCTTCAGGGTCTCAAATTCAGCTTTCATGCGCTGGTGTGAAATTTTTAACTTTTTTTCAACATTTCAACTATTTTTGCACAGACTAAAGCACAAAGCAGTGAAAATCATTAATAGGCAATCGTTCGGTGGGCGAAATTGCCCAAAGCGCATGATCACACCGGCTAGTCTGGTGCGCTTTGCTATCTATTTTTATTATGCAACTGTTTATTTGTACAATGTTGCACAGCTCCGGACTTGTCTCTAATATTTTGGTCTAAAGAAAAACAAGAAAATTTTGCAGCACTTTGTTTGCGCTGTCTGTGAGAAACCATTTCTCGGTCATCGTCATTACGAGAAGAAGGGTCTTGCCTATTGCGAGCAACATTACCACAAGGTTATTTTTCTTTATTTTTCTGTCACTAGCAAAATTTCCTGAAAAATTATAAATTTAACGGCTTTCTGGATTTCGAGCATGATGGAAACGTAGGATGGCTGTTTGATAGCACAGTTCATTTGCTGCAAGAAATGTTAACATGCATAATGCGTGTTCAATGTATATCACTAAAATACGCGCTCAGTGAACTTATAATATTTTATCTTTGCACTGGTACAATCAACAACATTAGCTCATGCACATTTTTGAATTTAGTTATACGGCAATGTATGCTTCAAATGCGGTAAAGTATGCAGCGGTGAAGTTTTTCAAGCTCTCAACAAATCCTGGTGTGTTGACTGCTTCGGCTGCAGTCTGTGCGACAGAAAAATGGACCACAAGTACAATTTTTTTTTCCTTTTTACTTAATCTTATTATACAGTAAGATCTGATTATGCAGTAAGAATATGTTCTAAATTTTATTGTACAGTAAGAGGAAGGAAGAGGCGAGAAATAAGGAAGAAGCGGGGGGGGGGGGG